GACATCCCCTTATGGAAATAGCTAGCTTGACCCCTGTTTATCCGCTTTTGCACACATGCAAAGTGTTTCGCTCACTCCATTCCACTCACCTCTCAGTTTAGAATCATGAAGAGAGTTAGCAATCCTTTGAAGCCTGTAAGATAATGACGCTGCACTAAGTGTACAAAAATTCTACTTCACGTTGAAGAGGTCGTAACATAACTGTTTCACTATCGAACATGTAACTTGTAAGGCTAATTGTGGTGTTAATGACTTTATGATAAACGATCGAGTTTTGTTTAACCCGCGATCAATTACAAACAGCTACGGTTACATTTTGATACAATTTTCATTCAGTTACGCAGTTAATTGTTAAACGGAAAAGGCCCAAATTTTACAGTCCTAACTCACTAATACAAGTTGATCGGTTTACCTCTGCCTGTGTTCCGAGTTCATGATAAAGCGTGCGTCTTTCATAAGCATTTGTGCTGCTTGCTGAGTGCTCTTGCGTGTTGAACAAAACTGGATTAAAAGAAACCACAATATTCTGTTTTCAACGTAGGAAAACATATCCCCGTGAACATATTTGTGCGTCAAGAATATATTCTTCATTAAACAAGAGAGAAACCTAAACCTTCTTGTGTAACCATACGGTATATTTTTCTCACCACAAGAGTAGGTTTCCGATCCGAGTAAGTTTGAATGATGCCACTCAGCTTATAATTGAGAGAAAAGTCAAATCGGAAGTCGGAGAATTTATTCCCCTTGGAAAAACCAAGAACGACCTTACGAAGTTTAACTGGTCGGTGTGAATCGTCCATACTGCCAAAGAAGAAAGTGCAATACAATTAGAATCTTAGAATGAGTCTAAACGGGAATGCCTTGGTTAAGTAGAGGTGGGGGAAGGAAAAAATTTTTCGCCGTAATACCTGTGACATACTTTTTTCAGCAGTCCTGGAGTCCCATTGGAAGGAACTGATGTTTTGATAGTAATCCTACCGGAAGTAGTCCTAGCGGAAGTTCTAAGACATTGCAAAGGATCATGGATATTGGTATGGGCAATGCTATCCGGTTGTCATGGCGGATGAATAAAGACTGGTTTCGTTTTTTAGTTTAATCTGGGTTATTGCGCGGCCATCCAAGTGACATCGTTACTTCTCATAGGAAGCAAGGAGTGTTACATACTTGGAACAAAACCTACATTTCGCAGTACTTGTGTACAAGAATACTTCCAAAATTAAAAAATTGAGGATAATTATTTTTTTACCTGTAGTGAGACGCAGGAGAGTCAATTCTTCCAAGCCAGGCTGCAATCTATTTCAGACAAAAATAGAAACACTTAAGCTCATATTTTATCTCGCAGGGAAGCGTAGGTCAGCTCCAAATTCCTCCCAAGAAGAAGTCACCCTTTCAGGTCTATCCGCCAACAACAATGGTTTAGGCTTTTTTCTTTAGAAGAATTTAGTTTATAGCATTATTATCTCTAGTTTGTTAGTGATCTGCTTGTGTTAGGTTTTCCCAAACCTCGAGTCATTATTTCTCTGCCAACTCAAGCCCTCGGCTTAGAAGACACCTGTAATTGTTTTTTTCGGGCAGCTACCCTACTGCGGAAAACTTACATCTTCCACGTTTGGTATGGTTGCTGAGATGGCCAAAAGTCGCATGCTCACTCTATCAAGACTACTGATATTTCCTCCAGTGCTGCAGTGGGTCATAGTGGATTGAACGGTTTTCATACGACTGATAACAGCTTCAACAGCAGCTCCTCTGGCGTCATCTTTAATAAGATGAACCTAAAAAATTAGGAAGCATGCACAGAAAATTGCTTTATATCTTCCATTTTCTTAAGTTAAACTCGATAAAGCTCAAAAATGATTGCTCAAGGATTGAGTTGTAGGTGAAAGCCTTCCTCGAATTCAGATATATAGTAATAAAAATTTGGTATTATCAAACAATTCATGTTTATCGTGTTTGATCTATAGGATTTCCACGTTAATGGTATCCAGTCCTAACTCTGTTGCAGACCAAAGTAAGGTACCTCATCAATGAGAAAAAGCTTGACCGACTGCACTAAGGATCTGTTGTCTCTCCACTTTCTAGTTATGCTATCCCATTTTTCCTGTTGATCGAAAGGGAAAAAAAATTCAGCGATGCTGAGACTCTACCTGACTTACTGACTGACTTACTAAATATCTGTATAGTTGACTGAACACCTGACTGATTTACTGACTGAATAGAATTTAACAAGTTACTGAGACTGACTGAGTGACTGGTTGGTTATTTGATCGAATGACTGACTGATAACTGACTGACTGGCTGACAGATCAACTGAATTACCGAGTAACAAATAAAGGAGGGAAGTTTCTGAAGAAACTGCGATACTGCGTCAGTGGGTGGGGGAGAGCGGTTACAATATAATTTGGTTTTATCAACAGAGTTGATAATGTATATGTGCACGATCCTTCGCAGTAAAGCACTATTTGAGCAATAGTGAAAATCAGACCTGAAAAAAATTTCAGGCCTGTACGGGATTCGAACCACTGACCTCTGCGATACTAGTGCAGCGCTCTACCAATTGAGCTAACAAGCCAACTGGGAGCAGGCCATCAAATTAATTCGACATAAACCCGTAGATGATAAATCAAACAACAACAAACATATGAAACATATGT